TTGACACAGATTCACAAGGAAGTTAGCAGACACAGCAGGAACAGGGTCACCGACAGGCAGAACCAGCAAGGAGATCCAATCTGGAGCCAGTGCTCCAGATACAGAAAGACAGTATAGCCACCCTCCTGCAGAAAGTGGATTGATGCCAATTTTTGAATAAAGACATTCAGTGGGCATAGATTGAAAATTGGCTTCCATCCTCCATTTTTCCTAGGACTAAGAAATATGGGAAGTAAAAGCCTTTCCCCTTTGTTGCTGAGGTAGCACTTGCTCTATAGCCCCTTGCTCAAAGAAAGAGTCTACCTCCTGACAGGGGATGTCCTCATGAGAGTAGTCCCTGAAGAGGGGCAGAAAGAAGGTTTGTAATGTGGAGGTGAGAAAAACGTGACTGTGTAGAGTGAATGATCTCTAGCACCCTCTTGTCCATTGTTACTGCCCTCCAGTTGTGAGTGAAGTGGGTGAGGTGGCCACCAAAATGTGGGGGAAGTGTAGGATGACATCAATATAGGAACATGGTTCTCAAACATCCTCATCAGTAGTAGCCCCCAGGTGGTGGGTGGAGCTGAGCAGTGACAGTAGAGGTGGAGGAGGCCAAGTACCTGAGTCTTTTTACCCTCTGCAATTTGTACGGCAGTTCATAACAGCACTTGTGATACAATGGTTATGGGGACGGTCTTGGCCACTACACTTGTTTGTGGTGTTTCCTCTATGGAGCTAGGGTAAAAATAACCAGGGAACAGGGGGGTTGTTCTGGTGTCTTTGACTGAGTAAAGGGATGCAACAGTTTTTCCACTGAATAATTTAGCCTCGTCTAAAGGTGCGGCCTCAATGTATTTTGTACCTCCCTGGGGAACCCCAAGGACCAGAACCAGCACCTCCTTACAATTGCTATAGCTGTCCCTCTCAAGGCAGTATCAGCAACATCCACTACAGCTTGAAGAGATGTTTTATCTACCAGTCTTCACTCATCAATCAGAACTTGGAATTGGGCCCAGTCCTTCCGAGGGACTTTGTTCTTAGAGTCTAAGAATTTGGAGTAGTTGGTGAAACTGTACTTTGTTAACAGGGCCTGGTAGTTATCGATTCAAAACTGAAAGCTGGTGGAAGAAAATACCTTTCTCCCTAAGAGGTCAAGGCTTTTAGCACTGTCATCCATGGGTGTTAACTTGGCATGTTGTAGCTAGACCTCTCCGTGACTGCTTGGACCACCAGGAAGTTGGGTGATGGGTGTATAAACAGGGGCTCCATTCCCTTGGCTTGTACAAAATAACATCTCTAAGACCTTTCTGGGGGTGTGGATGCAGGAGTATGCTAAACTACCCTGGCTGGTTGCATAACGGCCTTGTTCACTGGAAGGACCACTCTTCTAGTACCAGAAGGTTGTAGAATATCCAGTAGTCGATGCTGAGTATCCAGGACCTCCTTAAGTTGGATCTGAAACTCAGTCTTCAGCCTCTGCAGGAGCTCTTGGTACTGTCTGTGGTCATAAGATGGGGATAGCAAAGATGGGCAATTGCCTCATCTAGCAAGGAGGAGGATACCCCTTTTGGAACTGTCAGTCTCAGTCAATGAATGATCCGGCAGGATGGGACAGGGGAACATTCCCGTCTCCTCAAGTTGGTTTCTTCTTCTGGTGTCGCAATGTCCCCAAGCAAGGTTGGACCCAAAAGAAAAGGAGATTGTGGGTAAGGTAGGGCAAAGAGTCTCCAGAGGTGTAGGTTTCAGTGCATCCAGGTAGTTTGGACCAACATATCTGATGCATCCCTGGTTATCATGGATGGTGAATCGTTGGGGGGGCAGACTGGTCCAGAGCAGAGTCTAGCCTGGAACTCTAGATGGTATCAGCAGGTGCCGATCCTTGGGCTTATGAGTTGGAACTGAATTCAGTACTGACAGATCCTTACTTAGTTGCATCATACCTTCATGTTCAGGAGGTTTGAGAGGACCTAAGCCTGTAGGCACAACACATGAGGACTCATCTGACTTGGGTGGAATCAGGGAGGGATCTTTTAATCTCTGAGCAGTTTAGAAGATCTGTCCTTGAGTTTGAGACAGTGCCCTTTACTCTCATCAGATGCCCTCAGAAACAAATTCTTTGTTCTGGCCTCAGCTCCTGAGTTTGTGCATGGAGAGGCACTGCCCACTGACTGAGGCCATTTTACAGGAGGGGTCTCCCCAGCCCAGGTCCAACTGAGGTCTACATGAGATGCTTCTTTAATCAGAGCTACTGTGGAGTTAAATGGAAATTAAAAGGAACAGTCACACAAGTGAATGCCTGCAAGCTGCGTGGAAACAAGTTAAAACACCATAATAGAGTCTGAAACTAAATGTGTACTCCAAATGTGAAGGGGGGAGGGGAAGTGCTACCATGGCTAAACAGAGTAAAAGAGGTGTAAGAGGCACAAAGGCACTCTTTAAATATCGGAAGTCAAATCCTAGTGAGGAAACTAGAAAGAATAAAGTCTAGCAAGTCAAGTATGAAAGTATAATTAGGCAGGCCAAAAAGCAGCTAGCAAAACACACAAAACCTAATAGCAATTTTTAAAGTACATCAGAAGCAGGAAGCCTGGCAAACAAATCAGTGGGGTCAAGACGCTAAAAGACCACTCAAGGAAGACAAGACCATTGCAGAGAAGTTAAATGAATTCTTTGCATCGATCTTCACTCCAGCAGATATTGGAGATCCCCACACCTGATCAGTTTTTAAGGTGACAGGTCTGAGGAACTGTCCCTGATTGAGGTGTCAGTAGAGGTGGTTTTGGAACAAATTGATAAATTAAACAGTAATAAGTCACCAGGTACAGATGGTATTCACCCAAGTGTTCTGAAGGAACTCACGTAGGAAATTGCAGAGCTACTAACTGTGGTATGTAACCTATCACTTAAATCAGTTTCTGGACCAGACGACTGGAGGGTAGCTAATGTACACACCAATTTTTTTAAAAAGTCTCAAGAGGCAATCCTGGCAATTACAGGTTGGTAAGCCTAACTTCAGTACCAGGTAAATTGATTGAAACTATAGTAAAGAACAGAATGACCAGACACATAGAAGAACATAATATGTTGGGGAAGAATCAACACAGCATTTGTAAAGGGAAATCATGCCTCAGCGATCTATTAGAATTCTTTGAGGGGGTCAGCAGACATGTGGACCAGGGTGATCCAGTGGATATAGTGTATTTGTACTTTCAGAAAGCCTTTGATAAGGTCCCACACCAAAGGCTCTTAAGCAACATAAGCAATCGTAAGAAAGAGTGAAGGTCCTTTTATGGATCACTGACTGGTTAAAAGATAGAAAACAAAGGGTAGGAATAAATGGTCAGTTCTCACAATGGAGAGGGGTAAATAGCAGAGTCGCCCAAGGATCTGTATTGGGACCTGTGCTGTTCAACATGTTCATAAATGATGTAGAAAAAGGGATGAACAGTGAGTTAGCAAAGTTTGCAGATGATACAAAATTACTCAAGATAGTTAAGTCCAAAGCTGACTGTGAAGAGTTTCAAAGGGATCTCACTAAACTGGTGACTGGGCAAGAAAATGGCAGAAGAAATTCAGTTGTTGATAAGTTCAAAGTAATGCGCATTGTAAAATATACAAAATGATGGGGCCTAAATTAGCTGTTACCACTCAAGGAAGAGATCTTGGAGACATTGTGGATAGTTCTCTGAAAACACCTGCTAAATGTGCAGCACCAATCAACAAAAGCTAACAGAATGTTAGGAACTGTTAGAAAAGGGATAGCTGATCAGACAGAAAACATGATATAAATCTACTATATCATACTATATAAATCTACAGTATGCCCACACCTTGAGTACTGCTTGTTTCAGAAAAGATCTACTAGAATTGGAAAAGTTACAGAGAAGGACAACCAAATGATTAGGGGCATGGAACAGCTTCCATATAAGGAGACATTTAAAAAAACAGAACTATTCAGATTAGAAAAGAGATGACTGAGTGGGGATATGATAGAAGTCTATAAAATCATGAATGGTGTAGAGAAGTGTTATTTAGCCCGTAACATAAGAATCATGGGTCACCCAATGAAATTAATAGGCAGAGGGTTTAAAACAAACATAAGGATGTACTCCTTTACATATCACAGAGTCAACCTATGGAACTCGTTGTCAAGGGATGATGTGAAGGCCAAAATTATAACTGGGTTCAAAACAAACAAAAGAATTAGATAGGTTCATGGAGGATAGGTCCATCAATGGCTATTAGCCAAGATGGTCGGGGACACAACCCCATGCTCTAGGTGTCCCTAAACCTCTGACTGCTAGAAGCTGGAACTGGATGACAGGGTATGAATCACTCAATAAATCTGTTGTTCTTTCGCTCCCTCTGAAGCCCAAGTCACTGGAGTGTGATGTCCGTTTTTGTGTACTTATGTGTGGTTAACAAATTACACAGGCAAATGTTATGTTGTGGACACAATTAAAGCACAGTTGGGTTTGCATATGAACTGCAAAGTTGTGTGTACAAATGATTTATGCATGTACAACAGAGGCTGGATTGAGGCCATTGAAAAATTTCACCCCTGAAGATTAAAGATGCAGCAGGATGCTGTGTTTCTTAATTGTGTTCCACATGCTGTATACAGTAATATAATCTTGATAGGGCAGTTCCTGTATTGTTTGCTCAAGGTCTGATCTGGATAAGTATCCAAGTGCCCAGCCAGAACCACTTCCACTAAGAACCAAGATCTCAACACTTAGTCAATGGGTATTTTGACTATGTAAGGACTGAAAGATTAAACTTTATACAATTATCCAATTAAAGTCATATATAGCATTGACTCAGTGTCAGTCTCGCTTGTATGTGATTAACTAGTGATTTCTTTCATTGGTGGTATGCTGTGACCCTGCTTGATGCCATTAAAGTTTGTGACAACATAGGAAAGCCCCAACCAGCAAATTGTGAATGACTTAAGTGCTTTGCAAAAAGAAAAGGAGTACTTGTGGCACCTTAGAGACTAACCAATTTATTTGAGCATGAGCTTTCGTGAGCTACAGCTCACTTCATCGGATGCATACCGTGCTGATTTGGCTCTGCAGCACTCACAGGAATTCATTCTCAGCTGGTTTCCTTAAAACAAAGTGATCCTGTCTTTCAGTTTAAGAAAAAAGCTGCAACTGTTGAAGCAGCATGCACTTAATAAGCTACTTCTAAATCTGGCTTCATCATTTCAGTCTGTGGACTAGCAGACCAGAAGCTGCAGAATCCTTCTCAAGTAAGTCTTTTCCTTTAATGTACAGCATGCCTATTTCTTCATTTAAAATGTATAACAGGCAGCCAAACTCTTCAGCACAAGACCCATCGTGCTGCAATCTGATATCTGAATTTCCTGTTTTAATGTGATTTAATGTATCCTGTTGTTTAATTTGGCAGACATTACTGCCTTTAAAAAAGGAAACATTTAATATATTATGGGGCAAGATGGCAAATTACCTGGGTGCAGCTGCCCAGAGCTGCAATGCTAGAAAGCTAATTGAATGATTTATACTTGACTGTCATAATAGGTTTTTTGGGGAAAAAAAGAATTCACCTTTCATTTGCATAATGCACATCATGGAACAAGCCTATTTGCTCTCATGATAAATGGAACGTGCATCAAGAATATGCTGCTGGCCATCAAGTATGAAATTAGGAAAGTGATTTTTTTATCTGCAAAAGGGAAAAAAGTCATTCTGGCATTCTACCCAAATAATACTAAAGCTGATGCATACATATTAAGCAATACTTAGTGATTTGTACTAAATATTGAAGGAGAATGTTTATAGTGGATGATTGTTGAATTATACAAGATATTAGTCAATTGTTGCTAAATCTTAACATTAGCTTTCATGTATCAAAGAACTTATTTGTATGCGAGACAGCATAAATCCTATTCCACTTGCCAAAACAAATGGCACGTATGGTAGCCTGCCTTTCTCAAGAGTATTTGTACAGTTCACCAGACATGTTCATCAGGACCGGATGAAGTGAGCGGGGTCAGGAAAGATAAAGGGAAAAGGAGCAGTTTTTACTGTTTAAGTCACAACCGTTGTAGGGGGAAGTTAAGAAAGGAGGTCCTTGCAGCGGATAGCCCAAGGGTCTCTACATACGATTGCTGTAACATACACATACTTCTTCACTTAGTAGCTGCTTTACTAGCTGCTTAGGTTCCATTAACATAGCACGTGATCCACCAACAGTGAATGAGCAATATGTGCAGTGTAGAAATTCACTGTAACTACATAAGCATACAACATGCTGCATCTCTGCTAGTAATGTCCAATTACACTTTTAACACAACATTTTCTTCCACCATCCTTCAGCAACACAACATTTTATGTATGGGAAAATATATTACCTGTATAAGTCAACTATTCAAATAACTCGTTTGTCATAGGGAAAATATCCAAATACTTTCTTCTGATTCCAGCCAGCCCCCTAACCTACTGCAAGACCAATAGGAAAGAGGTACATGTATTTCTCTGGGTTATTTTCAGATTGTTCATAACAAAACCTTTTTAAGATACACACAACATCAGGTCAACTCATTTATATGCAGACATGCTTTTGAGCACCTTTTTTCAGAATATGCTGAAGAATGGAACTAGAGCAGCCATTTCCTTATTTATTGTATAATAGAGATGGAAAATCTTTGGAGGATTATGCACAGAGAGATAATGAATACATGTGAAGAGGAGGAACAAAACCACCGGCATAGGACTTTGGTGAACAATACCTATTTCCTCTGGAAACAAGAACAAGCATCCTGGGATCAGAAAATTAGGGTCTGTAGTGAATTCTTGGGATAAGAGAAATTTTGACAGAGTTTGAGTTAACCCTATGATAGCACACAAATGGGCAGAACTCCGACAGCTGTGCCACAGGGGTTCTCTCAGCTGCTGATAGTTCAACATAAATTAGACTCAGGACATGCAATTTCAGTGTGATAAGGCAGCCAAGAGAAGGTATTACAATCTCAGGTGGCATATAGGCATTGCATTTCTGTTATTCGTATTGCCATTCCTTTTCAGTCAGAAGAAACTGCCTTTCTACACCTGGGAGTCTTGTAGGCAAATAACATGGTATCACCAACCCAGGTTGGTCAAAAATGATCATTCTTCCAAAACATTGTGAGACTTTTAAAAATAAGAAAAACACTGGCATTTTTATTTGCCTCATGATTTCTGTGTCTTTCAGATGCATGTAGGACACATTTCCATGCTTTTCTCTGAGATTAAGAGGGCTAGAAACTTTCATTTAAAAAAGTAGAAAGTAGAGATTCTCACATAGTCAGCATGACTGCAGGAGCTGGAGCTTAAAGGAAAGCATGAATTATCATGAGGTTTTACTTGGGAACACAGAGTTTTGCTTCAGAAGAACACCCAGCCTTCTGACCTCAGATGGGCTTGAGAATTGTGTGTTATTGTTAATTAGGGCTCAAGATTTTGAAAAAACCTTTGGTAGAGCCTTGAGATGGGTGTCAGCCTTTCTAGCTATTTATTGTTTTATGAGAGATGTTAGCTGAGTGGTTTCACTGTAAGGCAGCTGCATTGCATGGTGCCAGAAGACACATTCTATTTGTATTCATTATTAAAATTTATCCACAGTGCCAATTATAATATATTTTAATCTCCTCGCTGTAGGAGACAGGCTCAAGTGTGTTGCAGTTTCCATCCCCAGCTTGGAACTGTTGTTATTCCTTTTGTTGGCATAAAATTAATTCTGGGGTATTAGCAGTTATTGTACATAGCCTCCTGTCCTACCCTCCATTTTCTTCAGGACAGGTAAATTAGAAGTGACATACCAGTTCTCTCTCACACACACACACCAAATCCCACTTCTGAACATGCTCAACTGCTGCTTGGCTCATCACATGCTCTCTGGAGACAAGGACTTATGAAAATTCTGGGTGGGATCAATGGGTCCAGGAAGCAATGGAAACTTGTGGCATGTTCCCCACTACACCCAAATAGATATACAAACAGGAATTAAACACATTTAAAGCAGCATGCCCCCCTCCATGGTCTTCTCCATGGCCTTTGCCATTTAGCCACAGGGGAAAGCACCACATGGTAGCTTGGCCTCTGAAGTAACTGCTAAATGGTTGGGGTAATTTTTTGAGGGGTGGGGGCATTTGAGAACAAGGTTGCTGGGGTGGAAGGACTCCCTCCACCCCAATGCGCATGGAGGCTCCAGGATCAAGGGGTGGGGAGAAGAGTTCCCTGTATTTTAAGGCCCAAGCTTTCTGCTTCCTTTTCAGCCCCCAAAAGCCATCTCCTCTGATGGAAACAAGTAAATTAAACTCTACGAGCTTTGTCTTACAGAATTTTCTGTCCCCATCCTATAGGCTAGATTACAGTGAGGCCCCCCAGGTCAATTGTATTTTTTAGAGTTAACGGTTAAAGTCCCACAGTGACTTGATATGGCACAAATGGTTTTGAGTCGTTACACGACATTCATGGATGACTATGGATAACAGGCTTTAGAACACATGCTTGTATTAATTTGAATGGACTCAGTCAAAATAAGAGTATTGTAGTGACATCTTATTCTTTTGTGGCTTCTGCCTTTGACAGATATCCCTGTCCTGAAACATTTAATTGTTGGACTTACTGATTTTTGCAGTTGTAAAGAAGTACGGAAACATTAAAAAATAAAGAGGATATACTGAATGTCTATAATAGTTTCCAAAAGTCACTGGACTAGATCCAGGTCATGTTAATTTCATTGTTAAGACAGATTCACATAATAAAATAGGTTCCTTTTGCAGGTCTGTACATTAAGTGGTCTGTAGTGCTGATTCTGCAGGTCATCTAGACTGGACAGTTGTAGAGTTACCATGGGAGAACCTCAGCACAGGAAAAAAGTGGGTGTGGATAGGAAAGAAGGAGTATCCATGGTAATATGTAGAGCTCAAACAGTGGACAACAGTTACAAAGATTTAACACCCCACAGGCATTGGAGAAAATGATTTATGCAAAAATGTACACAAAAATCCATCAAGAAGTTTTGATTTCAAATTTTCATTTTTGAATAGTTGTTTCCTTTTAAGTGTTTTTTGTCCCTCTCACCCACCCATCCTCCTCCTTTTTTCCCTCCCAGCCCCTCAGCCAGCCACTTCCCTCCTCTTTTTTCCCCCTCATTTCATTAATGAAAATAAGTGTTGGGCAGTAGGGGGAAAACAAGAGAAGATGGAGACAAAGGTGTTGGAAAGATAAGAAAAAATGAATGATATACCAAATTTAAAAAATATATTATGTCAGGGTTCCCTCCCCACTCTGAACTCTAGAGAACAGATGTGGGGACCCGCATGAAAGAAAGACCCCCTCAGCTTATCTCTACCAGCTTAGGTTAAAAACTTCCCCAAGGCACAAATTCTTCCTCGTCCTTGGAACCGTATCGCTGCCACCACCAAGTGAGTTAGACAAAGATTTAGGAAAAGGACCACTTGGAGTCCCTGTTTCCCCAAAATATCCCCCCACCAAGCCCCTTCACCCCCTTTCCTGGGGAGGCTTCAGAGTAAACAAGGTGAGCATAGACCAGGCCCTTGGACACTAAAAACCAATCAGGTTCTTAAAAGCAGAACTTTATAATAAAGAAAAAGTAAAAGAAGAACCTTCTGTAAAATCAGGATGGAAGGTAATTTGACAGGGTAATCAGATTCAAAACACAGAGGATTCCTCTCTTAGCAAAACTTTAAAGTTAAAAAAAAAAACAGGAATAAACCTCCCTCTTAGCCTAGGGAAAATTCACAAGCTAAAACAAAAGATACTCGAACGCATTTCCTTCCTATTACTTACAATTTGTAATCTTAGATGCTTAGTTTAGGTATGGCTTTAGTAGATGTATTTTCCCTGCCCTGGTTCCTCACTGTCCCAGAGAGAACACAAAGAAACACAAAACAAAACAAACATTTGAAAAGTATCTTCTCCCCTTATTGGTTCTTTTGGTCAGGTTCAAATCAGATTATCTGAGTTTCTTAACCCTTTACAGGTAAAGGAGGGATTTTATGCTACCCTTAGCTGTATGTTTATGACTATAATATATATACATACAATTTAAACAAAAAAAAGGAAAATTTTCAAACATTTTTTCATTCAACTTTTTTGACCAACTCTAAAGCCAAGCCCTGCAACAAACAAGTGGCTTTCAATAGGTTTCCACCTAATTCAGATGCAGCCCTGCTGCAGCTCTAATATTTGCCAGAAAGCAGCCATCACACCATCCCAGCCTGGC